ATCATTTAAATCCAGAGATTCCCACATTTTCAAAGGTTTCTTAACTTTTATAGAATTTGGCTTCACAGGGCAGCTATACTTCATTATTGTATTAGTTTTAAAATGAAAGTACTTCTGTAGGTACTGAAACTATGCAGGTATCACAATTCATCTTACCGTTATGTGCCTATTAATTTCTCAAATATTAATCTTAGCAGAATACAAAACAAGTCTTCTAAATAAATTATGCTGACTCTGCATGCATGGGAGGCTGACCTCTTGCAAAATCTTCAAAAGCTCCTCTCGAATTTTCAGGGCAGGAAGACTCCGATCTGGTAATGGAGAAAGCCACTCTTTGATGGCTGACATTACACCACTGTCAATGAAGGTTTCCTTCAAGTCCTGCCTAAAAATTGAAAACAAAATGTTAAATTAGCAGTTCAAAAGTAAAGAAAAAGGCATATTCAATTTCTTTCTTTATTCCACTGCTTAAAATGACAAAAATATTAAGACGGGATGGGAAGCCATTTTCAATATGTTTAAATCACCTATGTACCTACCTTCCAGTTACAACTATTTGCCCTTCTGATCTATTAGTTTGATTTCTGTATTGGGCAACATCTTTGAACAGACAAGCAGCATCTTTATGATAGATACTATTCAATTAACAGGAGCATGCAAATGTTTTTTTTAAACATAAACGACACCAGACTAATATCATCTTCTTGGATAAAATTATTAGTGGATCAGGGAATGCTGTTATTACAGTATACTGGATATAACTTAGCAAGGCCTTATACAAACTGCTAGTAAAATACATGTTTGATTAAAACCTCCTGACTGTATGAACTGTCAACCAATGAAGCAGTCTGCCATGTGATATGTTGAGTTCTCCTTTGCTGGATATCTTCAAAAGACATGGATTCAGACAGTATTGCAATCTGTCAGAGATAGTCTTATGGATCATATTTTAAACAAGTAGTTGGACTAGACGACTTTTACGTTTCCATTGAATCCTATGATTCTATACAACACTTGAAGAACAACTTTTAGAGGATATAGGCTAATTTGATGCAAAACCCTAAATAATCTGAATGCACGTAGATATGTGGATCCTAGTTATTACAAGGAAATGATTCACTGATATTATCAACAGATTTGTAGCTAGATTGATTACACTCCAAACAAGTTATTTGAAAAACTCTCTATCAAGTTAGGTTTTATTCACCTTTAAAATCCTTTAGCAATTCAGTGATTTTAATAAAACCTTCCAAGGTATAATAAACCTTTAAAAGTCATAAGTTATTTTCAACAGAAAGTTAGTCTTCAAAAATTTAAATTCATTTCATTTTAAAATAATAAAACAAAGTAAAGGACAATTACAATATCTACTTATCTAGATAAAAACAAATAACGATTTAGCATATGACCATCTACATCAAACCTTTTTTCCCCCACAATATTGTACAGAAAAAAGAATCAGAGTTTTGCTTACTTTTTAAGATGCATGACTACAGTTGGAAGCAAAGTTAATTTCTTTAGTGCTGGTTTCTTCTGTGTATTCAACTGTCTATCCTCCTGCAAGAAATTATATACATGACATTAAACATAAGCAGAAAAAAGCAAAATGCTTAAAACATTTGCAAATCAAACCAACTACAACCTTTTGTAATGAAATAACTAAAAAAGCAAGCCCAACTAAGCCTAAACAAAATAACTGGGGAAAAAATAGCAATTATGATTGTGTAAATTTCACTGGTATTTCCTACATTTATACCTGAGGTTTTTTTATGCGCTGAATCATTGATTTCTGTATCCAGATAGTGCACAGAATTTCATTCAGTGTACACGTTAGCCACACAAGAGTACTTATACTCTTGTGATATTAGGCAGAAGCAGGAATAAGAGCTTGTTTTAAGTTCTTGACACTATTCTCCTATAGAATGTGAACTAAGTAAGCAGTAAAAAAAGGCAAATTTAACAAGCAATGCTGCACTTTGTAAATAGAAAAAATGCGGTGAGCCTCTTTTAAAAGATTTGCGGATTATCAGCTTTGGCTCTACAGGTAGTCCAAGACTTCTAACCATTTGTTTAAGGATCATTTAAAGTTAACGACAGCATGGAAAAAAGTGATTTATGACCGGTCCTTGGATTATGACCGTTGCAGCGTCCCGTGGTTATGTGATCAAACTTCAGGTACTTGGCAACTGGCAAGTATGAGGGCAATTCAGAAATAAACTTCTGTTTGGTTATTAATGATAGACACTCGCAGATACAGAACTTTTATTATACACATTAGAAAATTACAACATTACATTACTTTTCGACATAATCGCCATTCAAATTGAGGCACTTGTCATAACGTCTTACAAGGTTTGAAATTCATTCTGCAAAAAAATCTCCTGCCTGGAAATGAAGCCACCCTGTAACAGCATCATGAAGCGCATTGTCATCGTCGAAGTGGTGCAACGCAAGCCACTGTTTCATGTGCCTGAAGAGATGGTAGTTGCTTGGCGCCAAATCTGGGCTATAGAGGGGGTGATCAAAACATCCCAACGGAACTGCTTCAAAAGTTCTTGGGTGCGTCTAGTGGTGTGTGGGCGAACATTATCGTGAACCAACACCACACCAGAAGTCAATATGCCCCGACGCTTGTTATGGATGGCTCATCTGAGTTTTCGTAACATTTCACAGTAGACTTCTGAATTAATGGTCGAATCACGCTCCATGAACCTCACTAGCAGTACGCCTTTGGCATTCCAGAATATTGTTGCCATAACCTTTCTGGCAGACAATATTTGCCGAGTTTTGGGTTTCTGAGTAGTGCGTATGACACCACACCATTGACTGCTGTTTGCTTTAGGGGTTCACATACAACACCCAGATCTCATTGCCAGTCACAATTCTGTTAAGAAATTGTTCTCCTTCCTCAGCATAACACTTGAGAAAGTCCAAAGCAGAATCCATTCGATGTGTTTTGTGGAATCCCAAATTTTCTGTCACTACCTCATACAAAACACTCTGAGAAATTTGGGGAAAGTGTAAAGAAAGCGCAGATATTGTGAACCGACAGACTTTTGACAATTTCCTGCATGAATTCATCGCTGAATACAGATGGGCAGCCACTCCTTGCCTCATCATGCACGTCAGTTTGTCCATCTTTAAACATGCGACACCATTGACGTAGACACCTTCACTCATCATGTTTGGTCCATAAACATTACAATTCACGATGAATTACAGCTGCCGAAAGTTTTTCCACACATAGGAATCGTACTACTGCACGCACTTCACATTTGGCAGGATTTTCTATGGCAAGGTTCATTTTCAATTGATCTAGTAGATACGTCAACTGCACTCCTTCCACTCATTGCCTACTGAACTACTGCGCATGGTGCCATAGGACGGGCATCGCTATCCCCGCCCATTTCTCACACATGCTCAAACGAAGGTTTATTTCCAAATTGTCCTCGTATTTACGACAGTTTCAGTATCCCGGGGTCACATGATCATCATCTGTGACCTTTCCAGGAGGCTTCTAACTAACAAACTCAATGTGAAAAGTTGGATATGCTTAATGATTACAGAGAAAAAGGAGTAAAACCAAGCACGGCTCAGTGACTGCATTGCTTAATGACAGAAGCCTGATCTCAATTGCTGTCATAAGTTGAGGACTACCTGTATTCAATTCAGTGAGACAAACATAGTACTTTCCTGAAATCCAGTTTAAAATAATTTCATTCGCGTGAATTATATCCTTACAAGCCTTGGAAAGCAACAAACACACCTCTGCGGCTTCAGTCATCTTAACGATCATGGCACTGACTACATCGTCAGCATCACTAATGAATGTCCCGCCATCACGGTTGCGCCGGCGTTTGCCACTCATGCTCTTTTTCCGTTGTAACATCATATCAAAATCTGACATGAAGTCCATACTGAAAGACAGTGTTTCACAAAATTCAAAGATTAACAGGATATAGTCACAGCTTAACCAAGTGTAAACAAGAATGGTTCCAATACATATAATACATGATGTATTTGGGACAGATCTATCAACAAAATAAAGAGCACTTTATCTACTCCTTAAAATTATGATGTAGAATTTAGAACATTGGCCACAATCCTGAAATTATAAATGTACTGGTATTTAAAGAAAAAGGTAGCACCCTCAAGAATTACAAAAAGCAATGGTATGGAAATGTTCTGTTTTGTTATTCAGGAAAAGCAACAGTTATCAAGCTGTAAATTAGGGTTTAAGTTATCTGCTATCAATCCCAATATAGAGTACATGAAACAGTCAAGTGATTTTTATATTTTTACCACCTTAAGACTATAATTCCATTCTTTATCCTAAATCCCATGGGATATATTAAAGGATCTGCATAGGCCTTATACTGCACAGAAACACATGGAACCAAAACAAATGTTCTACAAAAGCAAGCTGGCTATGAAACCAAAAATACAAATAATGGAAAAGTGCCTGGCTTTCAAAGGGTACCTTGTCCAGTATACAGTATAGGAGCATGGATGGATGGCTTTGTAGAGGCTTTGATTAATATCAGAAATATAAGTTTGATTTAGAGAAAGTATTGACATCTTCATCTGACTAGTTCTACCTCCTTTATAGAAGATGGCAATGTAGAATTCTAATAATAAAAACATTTGCCCTAATTAAAACTTTTTGCTAAAGTTTAGTATATGGCTGTTCCTCAAACTTGAACTAGGGTTAGAAAAAGATGTTTAAACTGAGGAGGGAAAGAGAAATATGCGTGCTATGTTGAAAAGCCTGAAAAAAAATGCAAGATTTTTAAATATGATACATAATTTGATATACATCACTATCGATTTGGTTTCTTGTAAAATTATAAGAAACTTACTGTTTTCCTCTTCTGATATTGTCATCAGAATCGGATTCTTCTGCTACTTCTTTTCTTTCTGCTTTCTCCTCTTCCAAATCCTCTTGGTTAAATCCCTTGGGTTAAACACAATAGAAGTTGGTTAAATATAACTTAATATAATATATATTATATAATGCATTATATAAACTGTGTTTTTAAGAATACTTAACAGAGAGCAATCATAGAATTTATATAAAGCTCTCAAGGTTCATATTTATATTTCATCCAGGATATCACATTTCCAGCTGGTTAGGGTTATCGATTGTACATCCAGCAATTGATAAAGCTAACAAACTAATACAATTCAAAGGTGATGAAACGGCATGCAGGATTTTGGAAGTGTCCAGAATATTTCCATCGGGCAAGATGATAAAAAGGTAAAGAAAGATAAGCCTGCTTCAAGCAGAGCTGATATGCTTATGTAGGTATTTTTGACATTATGGAAGTAGCTTGCTAATGGTTTTCAGAAACACAAATACAGCTAATCTCTGTAACTAAAACAAATAGCATGGCTTCAACACCAGCAACTTATATTCAGTTAGGCTATTCTTTTTTTTGTTTATTTTGTGTTAATTGCTATTTATTCATTTTTATGTTTTTTATATTTTATGGTAAAGAGTGGGGGTTGTCTTTCAAATCCAGGAGCAGAAAAAACCCCCAATAAATGTTTTCCCAATGAAGTGTAATTGTGAACTTGTAAATGGCATACTATTTTGTTATCACAGTCTAAGAAATATACTTAACAAAGATGAAAATTACTTAAAGAAACGTGTATTGGCAGATCCCTCAAAATTACAGGAAGGAGTGATGAATGGGAAGAACAAAATATAAATTCATGCTATACTTACTGTAAATTCCTCTTCTTCCTCATCTCCAGATTCTCCAAATATATCTGCTATGAGGTTTCTGAAGAAAAAAACAAGCTGTTATTCATAATCATTTTCTGGGCATGTTACCTAACACCACAACTTTTATTTACTTAAAGAATGTATATGGCAACCCAACTTAAAACACCACTGGATAGTGTACAATAAACCAAAGAATGTCCTATCTATTCAATATTGTTCCAGAACTTAATCTTAAAATTACTTACTCTTGCTCATTTCCTGACTCACTGTCACTTCCAAAAAGATCTTTTTCTTCTTTCTTCTTTCCACTGTCATCCTTGTCATCATCTTCCTCGCTATCAGAAGCGATAGATTTCTTTTGCTTTTCATATTTCCCTGTGGTAGCATCACTATCTGATTCATCACCATCAGAGATAACACGGCTCTTTTTTGCAGCTGCCAACAGATGAATAAATAAATGAATCAAAAACAGAGCCAACTTGGAGAAAAATAATTATCAATTATTAGTTGTGAAAAAATCTCCTTAACATTAAAAGCAAAAGGAATTATTTACAAAGATAACTGCAGAAAAATTAAACTTGTGTCAAGTAACAGCAAGTCTTCCTAAGTTTATTAATAATTCCAGTAACCACTCTGAAGTAATAAGGTCCCATTTTAACATCTTTGTTGTATAGTTTGGTTAAAACCATGATTTTTTTTTTTCAGAAAGGTCATTGTAGATCTCTGCCAATTCATTTTTATCATACTTCCTGTTAATCAACTGAACTAAGGCAAATTTTTCAACCTGCTATGTTATAATGTCAAATAGCAACCGTCTGGGGGGAGGGAGGGCGGAGTACAATGGGCCACTGTATGGCCCACTTCATTTAGCATGGAAGATGTTATCAAGCAAAGATCTGTTTTCTCTTCATTTTAATGAAGAGAAATCATCCACCACATACACCTTAGAAAGCTCATTTTGGACTGCTGCAGTATTTGTAATACAATCAAGAATAGAGTGAAGAAGCCACTTGGATAAGCAGTGAAATGTTTCAAACCAAAAAAGGAAAGAAGTCCAATTGCCATGATTCAACTTCCAGAAAACTACACTGGATAACTGAGAATCATCGACAAACTGAAGACTGAACATAATTTCATTTTTAAACATGATTTGCCATACACAAACATTAAAAGAAACCTGCACTTTCCATTTGGATATCTCTTATTGCTTTCCCCTATCCTATAGGGGGAAAAAATATCAGTTTATGGAAATAATGGATAAAACAGAAAGTGCTAAATGGGTAGCAGAAGTACAAATATATCATTAAATATATCTAGGGAAAATAGGGAAGTTGCAATACATGCAATAGTTCCAGTACTTTTCTCTACAATTAAGTGAACACACTAAATTGCTTTTGATGTACTTTTCAATGGATGTAGATTGAGGACAACTTCTATCAGCTGGGGTTCACCATGTCCTTTTTACTTTGGTGGCCTAATGCTTCAGGAGGTAGAATAATGGCATACTGATATCAACAGAATTTGAGAAATGGTTCAGATCCTTTCCTCCAACTTTTGAGGATTCAGCTTTTAAAGATGTGTTACATTTAGTCTATTCCAAAGTATGAAAAGGTGATAACTGTTAGACGTATCAAAATGAATCACTGTTCACACATGTATTTGTACATTTATCCCCTGTTCGGCACTATGTTTATTTCTACTGAATGTGCAATCCCTAATGGCAGGATTGCTTATGCATTTTAGTCACCTGGATGATGCAAATGATAATATGCTGATGTGAGACACATCACACATAAAACTTCAGAGCCAAAACGTTATGTCACACATTTAGTTTGGAATCACAGCATATATAGACTGAAAATTACTTCTAAATTCATTTTTCCTTACGTGTTCTTTCTTCATCTTCACTATCAGAGAGCACAACAGCTTTCCTTTTGGCCAATTTCTCCTCCTCTTTTCCATCTTCATCACTGTCTATCTTCTGTTTTTTGGGACTTCCTTCTTCTTCACTGTCAAAGCCATGTAGTCTCTTTCCAACATCACTATCTGAAAGCTGGGCGCTATTCACCAGTTCCTCTTCCTTCTTATTTTCTCCATCACTATCACCTACCTCTATTTTCTTTTCATTTCTGGGGGGATCTTCACATTCAGAATCACTGGACTGGACCTTTTGCTCCTCATTTTCAGAGTCACTGGCAAGAGGTTTTTGCACTGTCTCATTTTCTGAATCAGGGTCATGGTTTTTTGGGTGCTCCTCAATTTCCGAGTCACTGGCTGGATGTTTCTGGGGCTCTTCATTTTCTAAATCACTTCCATGCCTTTTATGCACACTCTCATGTTCAGAATCACTGCCCGTGTTCTTCGGAGGTTCCTCATTTTCAGATTCACTGCCATGGCCCTTCAGAGGCTCCTCTGTCTCAGAATCACTGGCCTGATTATTTACAGCATCCTCATTCTCCGAGTCACTCGCAGGTTGAACAGGATTATCTTCCATATCAGAGTCACTGTCTTTCTCTCCATCAACCCCTTCATTTTCTGAGTCACTGCCATTATGATTAACGGCATCCTCGTTTTCTGAATCACTATGTTTCTGTCCCGGTGTATCTTCATTTTCTGAGTCTGTCATGGGATGTTGTAGAGTTTGTCTGTCATCTTCCCCGTCACTAAGTTCATTCTGGGGAAAATAGAAATAATATTAAGGAAGCCACAGAAAGTAAATGAAGGCCAAATCAAATAATATAATTAAATCAAAAACGATCATGGGTATTACAGTTGAAATGTTTAGCATTTAACTGTAAATTAAGTACAGGTAGTCCTCAAAATAAGACCGTAATGGAGCCTATCCATTGGGGTTGTATGCCATGATGGTTGTTCAGCAAAACAGCTTCACTTAACAACCCCACTCCCTGTTCTCCCTGATGCAACCATTAAATGAATGTGAGCGTCATTAAACGGCGCACTGGGTACCTCAGGGATGGGAGAGTCCTTGGAAGGCCTACACATGGCTACCCCAACCTCAGGCACCCTGAACTCCCACTTCTCACCAGGTCCCTGCAGTCCTTCAGCTTCCTTCCCAGCTAGTGAAAAGGATCAAGCCAGCTGGCGCTTGCAAGTCTCCAGCTGCCTTCCCACCTAGCAAGCAAGGGGAGGGGAGGCCAGCCAAAGTTTCCAAACTCCAGCAAAAGGAGAGATCAGGCCATCTGGAGCCTCCAGCAAACAAGGGGAAATCCCACCAAAGGACTTGCATGACCTGGCCTCCTCCAGGTCCCAATAACACCCAACTAATGCTCTGTTTTTTTGTAGCTTCTGACAGAGGCACCCAGCCTGATACAGGATCAGTTTTTCACAGATACAGCCTGGTGGCAAACTCCTGTTATTTTGCAACAAGGTGTTTTTTTTTTATTTTATTTTTTGTTTTTTAAGAGGCTCCATTTTTTTAAGGAGGCTCCATTTGTTTGTGGAGTTTACGGAGCCTCCTTAAAAAGGAAACCCCCTACAGGTTCACGAGAAATAATAATAATAATAATAATAATAATAATAATAATAATAATAATAATAATAATAATAATAATAATAATAATAATAATAATAATAATAATAATAAAAAAGGTTGGAAGGGACCTTGGAGGTCATCTAGTCCAACCCCCTGCTCAGGCAGGAAACCCTATACCATTTCGGACAAATGGCTGTCCTGTCTCTTCTTAAAAACCTCCAGTGTTGGAGCATTCACCGCTTCTGGAGGCAGGTTGTTCCACTGGTTAATTGTTCTAACTGTCAGGAAGTTTCTCCTTAGTTCTAGATTGCTTCTCTCCTTGCTTAGTTTCCATCCGTTGCTTCTTGTCCTGCCTTCAGGCGCCTTGGAGAATAGCTTGACACCCTCTTCTTTGTGGCAGCCCCTCAGATATTGGAACACTGCTATCATGTCCCCCCTCGTCCTTCTCTTCGTTAAACTAGACATACCCAATTCAGCAGCCGTTCCTTATATGCTTTAGCCTCTAGTCCCCTAATCATCTTTATTGCTCTTCTCTGTACTCTTTCTAGAGTCTCAACATCTTTTTTACATCGCGGTGACCAAAACTGGATGCAGTATTCCAGGTGTGGCCTTACCAAGGCATTTTAAAGTGGTATTAACACTTCACATGATCTTGATTCTATCCCTCTGTTAATGCAGCCCAGCACTGTGTTGGCCTTTTTGGCAGCTGCAGCACACTGCTGGCTCATATTTAGCTGATACTTGCTTTGTCATTAGGCTAGGTCTGTTAAGAAAACTGATGGGTGGGTGATGGGTGCACTGTAGGAAGACCTGAAAGATTAGGTTAGGGACAGATCGTATTGAAGAAAATCTAACTATGTGGTTACTAAGAGTTGACATCAACTTAAAGGCACGTACTAAATCATTAATGCATATTAGCAATCAACTAGGTTAAAATCTTTCATTCATACAACATAAAATCAACAAACACTTATTTTCACTAAAATAATATAGAAACATATTAAGTGAAATAGTTTCAAAAGCAACATTTGCTCAATCCCAAATTACTTTTTCAGCCTAGATCCTTTTTCAAAATGCTTCACTAACAGTATTAATATGTATATAGTAATAAAAGTTATTGCAAACCTTGTTGAAATATACAGTACATGTGAAATTTATGCAAAACCTTCAAAAATGTTTATTTCTTTGTACATTTTGAAAAATGTACATTGCTTTATAGTGAAATACTATAATTTGCAGTTTACTTTTAAAAGATCATATGAATTAAATATTAACGTTTAACTTTTAAGAAATCCTTTGCTCAAACAGGCAGAATAGTTTCCAGTTAATATTTAAAAAATTATTTCATGACTACCTCTGAATGTTGTCCTATGCTTCCATTCTCCGATCCAGAGCGTTGTTCATTTCGGTTATCTTCCATGTCTGATCCTGAATCACGCTCATCCTGTACTGGTGTGGCTCCACCATCATCTGTAACACATTATTTGTTTAAATCAAATTGAAAGTTGACAATGACTTTCAATACATAGAAACAATTACATCAATGCAAATGAATACTGTACTAGTTTTAATTACCTCTATATTCTTGCCCCTTGTTTAACACCTATATGAGACTGCTGAGCGAGGTAATTCACCACTTTGGAGTTAATATTTGGGTAATACTGCACTTTTCCCTTCAGAATTGATGGAGAATTTGGAGGTCTTCACATGTGGACTTACCATTTCTGCTTTACATCAACTACAACTAAGACATTGCATAAATCCATCTTATGTGCCAATTATCCCTTATCCAGACCAAGAAGCCTTTGGACAATTACTCATACTCTGGTCACCTCATGCAATGTGCTCTTCAAGGGTCTGTTCTTGAAAACCACTTGAAACTGCATCTGGTGTGAAATGCAGCGCCAGGGGCAATCATGGATATATCTTGTCAAGCCCATGTACCCTGTAAGCTCTGCTGGTTACCAACAGGTTTCAATTAACAATTCAAAGTGCTGGTTGTTACCTATAAAATCTTTGGTGGCATAGAGTCTGGATATCTAAAGGATTATCTGTCTTCCATAATGGGACATGCTCTGGATCCCATCCTTTAAGAAGTGTCAACTGATGGGACCCAGATAGCAGGCTTTTTCTGCTGTTGCCCTCTATATTCTACACCTTCTCACCCTCAGATATATCTATCCTATACACTGGCTGTATTCTAAAGAGTTCCAAAACCTGGCTTTTTCATTAGATCTTGGGTTAGAGTGGTGTTGAAGCCTCAGTTTTAACAATAGCTTTTATTATAGCATTGAGTGTTGTTTTAGGTTTTCTTCATTATATCTCGTGACCTTTTATGCTCTATGCATCATTTTAAATTGGCAGCCTTAAAAATGGCCAAAATAAATAAAAATATAAATAACGGAAACAAAACTTTGAACTAAAATATTCCATAATTAAGACTTGTTTAGACATTCAATTTCAGACAGCGGCTGGAATACCATGGAGCTAGAAACTCAACATAGTCAAGATTACCAATCCTGAAATACTGTAAACATATTCAGTGAACCGTGGAAACAGATTCCATTATTCCATACAAATAATGTAGAAAGGTACAGGAGTGGGGCGGCAACTATTTATATAATATTCATTGAGAAAGTTTACGTTCTGGACCATTTAAAAAGGAAGACATAACTAATCAGCTTATCAAAATGAAATTAACAAGAGTTAAAATGTTAACAATACAATTGCATTTTTGGGGCCTTGGCCTAATAGTTCCCATTTACAAAAAAAAAGTACCGAACTCCATTAGATTACTAGCCTATTGGTCTCCTCAGCATTATCAGTAAATAACATGCCAGATACCTACCCATTAAGTTTTGGTATCGGCTAGACCTAGAGAAAATACATTATTAGTCAAGAAACAAGTTAAATTTAAAAATGCACACTCTACTTTTGCTCTTGTTCTGAAACATCTGGGGGGGGGAAATCACTTTAAAACCATGTGCAAAGCTATATGCAGCCTTCATTGATTTTATAGCAATCCTTGATTTAATTTCCCATAGCCTAATCTAGCATATAAGCTTCAAAACCTTTCTTTTTATAGATAGAAGCTTCCTTCTCCTTGTCTATAAATTATAGGACAACTCAACTATAGAGGTCAGATGCATCACCCAGAATCACTGTATCAAGAAAATGTCTGCTAACAGAAGACTTTGGCACAGATATATTCTGGAACCATTATTATTCAATTATTACATCAATCCTTTAGTTGCCAAGATAAATAATTTCTCCCATTATCCCTCAAAATAGGCAGAGCAATATACAGTAATCTGTTTTTAAGCACATGGAGTAGTTCTGCTTTTCCAGACCTATGCTGGTCTAAAGAGAGCACTGCGAGCTTTGGCTGAATACTGAATACAGTAGCCTTAGAAATCAAGTATAGTAAGACAAAGGCACTGGTATATCTGGAAATTAAACAATTGTCCAATTGAATGGTTAAGTTATTTAAATAGCTTAGTGTTGTACTTTATGCCATATCTATATGTAAAAAGCCCAAAAATCAGATACAGCCCTGCAAAAATTATTTTACAGTAAATAGACATTGCTTATTCTTGCTGCATTTTGAGCGCACTCAGGACAAGTTCAAACACAATTATTAATTGGTGCCCAGATAGATCCATACCTCTTTTGCCCCCTTGGAAAGGGTTCAGACTAAGTTCCTCAGGAGCATATTCCAAGTTTTCCATATGTAATTCTACATTGAGAGGATAGTGTCAGTAAGATTGAATCCAGTGCTTGGATATGAATTGTCAGGTAGTGAACTAAATTGTTCTTTTCCCCAGAAGATCTAACTCCTCGGGTTCTTTCCAATAATTTTGTTTCCCCTTGAACTAAGGCAACACACAACGAACTGGGTTTCCCTTAATTTAAGTATCTATGCTAGGGCATGATTATACAACAGAAGCAATCAAATGCCATAGAAACATCATTATTCAAACTAATCTTATATTTCTCCTTAATGACCTGCCAGTTATCTAAACCAATTGCTGTTCCAAAACTAAGGATGGCCTTAATGTTGACACAATTCAACACTCTTTTATCAGTAATTTTAGAGGGCTGTACAAGGTTATCCCATTCAAATCCAAATTATGCCCATATAGAGGAACCACTGAACTCATCAAACTTATATTGTTTGTTTTATGCTGACACCTATAGTGAGCTGTTAACTAAATTTCTTGATCATTTTCATAAGTTTTATTTTAAACTCTTATTCCAGGCTCAATTCTTTAAGTTGGCCAAATTATATCATGCAATATGTAAGAAGAGTAACATTTTGATTGATTTGCTTACCTAATTAATTTATTAATTACTATTCATGTTATGTATATAATATACTTTATGGACTGGACACTGACTGCAATAATATATATTTCTCTCTCAATTGCATTTCAATATATTTCTATTCTACACTAAAAATGAAAGTGAAAATAGAGTAGGTTCCTTAACATACTGTCTTCAGCATACTGACTACAGTATTTCTCACCATTAGTCACGGTGTTTAAGGCTGACATAAACTGTAGTTTAAAATACCTGGAAGTTAATAAAAGCCATCATCACTATTCTATAATTACTATGCATGAAACAAAGAAGAGGAAACTTTACTTGAAGAATTTGCTCCACAAAACGTTTCCTTTTTGGGGGAAATGTTACTAACTCAAAACTAATTCTAATTTTGCACTGTGTAGTAGAATAAAAACAACCTAAGATATATCTATTCATCAAGTGAATTGCACGCATCCTTTTCAAACACATAGTCAATTGAGAGCCAGTTTGGTGTAGTGGTTAAATATTCTGGACTAGAAATCAGGAGACGGTGAATTCTAGTCCATAAAAGCCAACTGGGTGACATTGGGCTGGTCACTCTCTCTTAGCTAATCTCACAGGTGAGGAAAATAGGTGGAGGAAGGAGTATTAGGTATGTTCACCACTCAAATCACTTATACAGAAGTGAAGGTGGATAAAAATCTAGTAAATAAATAATAGCTCTCCATTCTACTTTTAAATTATATTTGCTTTCCATAGTTAATTAAAGACTTCAATAGTATAAATAATAGTACAAACAATAACCAAATTGTTTGGTTATTTGGGCTGTGCAGAGATCTGGATTCAAAGGGCACCTCCATAACACACATCTCAACACACTACTCTAGCCATTACAAATTGAATTACATTTTATCTCTGTTCCTTTTTCTTTCCTCACTGATTAGAAAATTAAACAGAAGCTTCAAGAAGGGAGTTGGTGGACTGGAGAATGTTTCGCTCTTTTGTCCTCCCACAGAAGGTTTAACAGCATCATAGATCATAGGAGGGCAAAATCTATTTTCCCTTTTTGTTTTGAAACTACATTTTGAAACATGCCTATTATCAAAACACAACACAGAAATAAGACACGCGGTTAAGTAGATTGGGCAAATTTATCTCTCCCTGCCGGGCAGCATCACTTTCATTAACTATATCAGCTTCGTACCGAAACAGCAGCCCAACGGACCTAGAGGCTCTCTGGGTTGGGGAAAGGCTTAGGAACTCGGGCAACGGTCAGGTGCCAACAGATTCATAACACAATGAGGCCTAACGGGTACGCTACGCACCCAGTTGCAGGAACAACCATACAGCAAGAAAGCTCGTGAATCCCTTGCTCTCATTTGCAAGCCCTACAGTCGTCCCCAAGGCGTTTTTCCAAGAGGCAACGGGAGCTGAAAAAGCACCGTTGGGACAACCACGACCCGGATGACTGAGAACCTCCCCAGACAAACCTACAGTCCAAATCCTACCAGCCGAGAGCCGAGCTCACCCTCCCGCCTCCTCCGACTGTACCTGACTGCTCCCCACCGTAATACTCCGTCTCCATAGCCCCGCCTCCCACTACAACTGGCTGAACCAGCGGAGAGGGGCGCTCCGATGGGGACGGCGGGAGCCAAAGGGGAGCTCAGACACCGGATCGAAGCGGGGAGGGGGAGGGAGGCAAATAGGGGGGGGAGAAATCACCTTCCAGTTTCTAAGCCGGAAGCAACAGTATTCCACGACCTTCCCATCAACCCTCGCGCCGTAGTTAGGCAGTTCCGCAGGTCCGAAATGGCGCCTCCGCCCCCTCCCCGAGCGGAACCCAGGAGCTCTTCCGCTTGAGATGAGTGGCGGGGCCCGCGCTGTCTCGGAAGCGTTGCAAGATGGAGGGCGTTGGCCCCGCTGAGCTCGTCGGCTCGAGGTTGTCGGACGGAAGGAGAAGAGTAGCGCTTGGGCTATAGCCAGTGGTAGGCAACCTTGGCTCTTTTATGACTCGTGGACTTCAACTCCCAGAATTCCTGAGCCAGCCATGCTGGCTCAGGAATTCTGGGAGTTGAAGTCCACGAGTCATAAAAGAGCCAAGGTTGCCTACCCCTGGGCTATACCTTTCGGAGAGTTATGAGACTTGGAATGGAACAATGTTTTGGGGAACTACTGTAGATCGGAGGAGACGGATAATCATCTATTCTCACGAGGGAAGGCGAATATACGTGTCGCAGGATAATGTTGCAGGATCTAATCTGGGTCGGTCACCGGGACCGGAGGTTTTGTCTTTCGAGCTTTCGGACTCGTGCTGGAGCCCATCTTCAGGGAACTGCTCTCTACGGGCCATCTTCAGCGAATTTCTCTCTGCTGAGAGCAGTTCCCTGAAGATGGGCTCCAGCACGAGTCCGAAAGCTCGGAAGACGAAACCTCAGGTCCCGGTGACCGACCCAGATTAGATCCTGCAACATTTATTCTTCCTGGGATAGCCGCGAAAGTTTTTTTTTAATAAACAAAGATAAAACAAGGGTTTAGTACTCTTATTTTCAGAGTGTTGTCACGTGGGGGGAACACAATGGCCTTGGTAGATTGCCTATGCTTAATCCACTTTGTGCCTTGGAGTTCAAAAAGCTGCACGCCTCTTAAAAATACAGGCAGTTAAGCCGAGCGGTCATGCTTGCTCTCTAAACGAGAATTTTAATCACAGTTTTAGCTTCCGCTTTGGCGGAGTACAGACCATTCCCGTTTCAGCCTTGGATGAAAAGGACTACAAGTTCTTTGCTACAAAAATCCGCCCAGCCACTAGATAACAGTAGGATTTATTTTTCTGTACCTTATTGATGGCATTTAGCAGTCGTGCAGATTTCATATTATATTAACGCATGAAATGAAAGTCCTAATAGGGTAGCCCATTGTTATTAATTGAGGAGGTTAGAAAAATATTGATTTGCTTTTGCAGCCTGACGTCCCCTTCTAAAGTACTCAGACTGCAACAAAGTTGTGCCCCCCCCCGCCCCCATTGCTGTTTCCCTTAAAGAGATCTCTCTGGCTTCTATCCCGAGGGAAAAAATCTTTAAAAAGTTTAAACAGACTGTATAAGAACATCTAGTGAAATCATAGCATTTTTTTTATTTATTTATTTATTTTATTTGATTTATATCCCGCCCTTCTCCCAACGGGAGCATACTAGGACAGGAAGATAATACAGTACTAACTCCATTAAAACAACAGATAACATTAAAATATTTCATGGAAGTGGGATGGTTGAAGAAATTTCCATACAGGTCAGTCTCTGACTTATCACCATAATTGGGACCAGAATTTCCATTACTAAGCAAGGCACTTATTGAGTTGCACCTAATTTTATGGCATTTTTTGCCATAATTGTTAAGCGAATCACTGTGGTTGTTAAGTGAGTTGTGATCATTAAGGAATCTGCTTCACACATTGATTTTGCTTGTCAGAAGGTGGATGGAAAGGTCAAAAATAGTGACCATATGACCCTGGGACACAGCACCCAAATTTTGATCACTTGATCATAGGGATGCTGTGATGGTTGTAAGTGTGAGGATCAGTCATGTTACTTTTTTCAGTACGAATGTAACTTCAAACGGTCACTGAATGAATCATTGTAACTTGAGGACTATCTGTATATGATTCCTAGCTAAATGACCAATACCAGTGATGCAACAGTAAAACCAATAGATGAAAAAGAACCTTGTTCTGCAAAAAATTGAACATAGTCCCCCAGTAATTGATTACTTGTTGCACATTAATTATCCATCTTTCCAAAAATAAATGTATCCTTTGCAGAGCAATGTCCAGGTAAAACTCTCAGAAACAAAAGCTGGTGGGTTCTGCCAGAAACGGCAAAAAGCTGAAACTCATTAATTGTAAAAACAGGATTGTACCCTCCAGCCGGTAATATCTTTCTTTCTGCCAGATGTTTCTTGTTTCATGTTTAACCCAATTCCTGACAATCTTCATATGAACGATCTAATGTTGCACCTACTAATTCATTTCCAAAAATACCAACAAGAGGTGGAATCTATTGAAATCTAAGAATAGGAAGAGGGGAACAGTTCAATAATACTTTTCCAAGTTCAAGCAACTAAAGTTGATGTTTTTCAAACTCCTGGTGGAGTATGAAAGGAGACTTCCGGATGCTCAATGTGCCCCATAATTTTAGCAGATGCAGAGAATGTGCATCCCTTGCAGGTGGCGAGGCTGGACAGGCCTCTTGGAAATAAAAAAGATGTAAATCCATATTCTGTAACACCAAATTTTCTACAGGAGAGAAACCATGGGCCTGGTTTCCTGTGCTTCCAAGATATGCATGCAGCCCCATAGGTATAGTAGAGCCTGATATACCATAAGCTTGCTTTCTCAGATAACGTTTCTGACTTCACACCATTACTTACGCTTTTTACCAAAGAATCCTCATAATACATTTGTTTGGCCTTATACATACTATGGTATTCACTGTTCAATTTTGTGGTACACCTTGTGTCGAGATTCGGTTGTTTGCAAACATTTAGGGGCCCTAGTCAAATTGAACATTTCAGTGAAATCCGTAAGTAAACTGAAGCTAGTACAATGTACCACGTAATACACATAATACACGGTTCCTCCCCCTACTCTTTGTATGTTGAGTTGAATTTTTAGTATTATTATTTATTAAATTTTATATGCCTCCTGACTCCCAATTACTCAAGGATGTGATCTTCAGATCTGGGAACCATGAAGTCCAATCCAAATTATTTTATCATTATGTCTTAGAAATACTTCATAGTCAATTGGCAGGTATATCTGAATCATTGGTTTGCTGAATAGCCAAGTCTCCTTTCAGCTTCAAATTGTTTTCATCATTTCTAAAAGTTAACCCCCTCCCCCACTAATTCTGAGTACAGTCTTGGGTGACTTGCACATCACATTACTTTGGTTTTGTCTGCTGCCACACCTCAGTGAATGGCTGCTGCACACTTTGAAGCATCAACAGACTCCTGTGGAGGCAAGTATCAGCTTCCCAGTGGACACTGCTACAATTTCCTAACCCATGATTTCTTTTCACAATGTCAGTATGGAGCTCCTACTTGCACCCAGATCACTGCTGCAATCTAATAAATCCATCTCCTAGTTCTGGGTACAACAATTGAACAGCTGACATATTAGGTTGCACAAGCCTTTTGTGCTGTTGCAGCGTCATAACACAAGGCTGTTGCACATTGTGATACCTACTAAATGCAGGCAGGTTCTTAGGAACATTGGAAAGCACTCTTATGTGGTAAGGCTTTGCTGAATGTTGTTATCTATCCACAATGCAACAGTGGAGACTTCACTTTCACTTAGGCCTTTGGTCATAATATAGAGTCAACATCCTATCAAGTTACTTCTGTCTGATTGTAGCCATTGTATTGTGGTACTTCACCACATAGCTCCAATGATGGTGCTTCCAAGTCATGGAGTAGGGGTACCCATGGATGAGGTGCCAAAATATTTATTTAAAACATTTATAGAGCAGCCCATCTTATATTGAACTCTGGGAAGCTCCCAATCGAAATCAAATCAAAATGGTGGGCATAATGCAAAATCAAATCTCTTCCCCCTTTCCTTATGTATGTCAGTGCCATCATCCATAAATCATCGTTCAGATGGAGCATGTATTAAAGATTTCAGGTTGTGCTTACATCATCATGAATGAATCACTAAAGCCTCATATCCTTCTTAACTGTACTATTGTATGGATTGTTGTGAGGAATAGGAAAATACTTTGCACCCTGCCTTGCTCCTGTATAATATTTGGGCTATAAATCTAACAAATAAATAAAAGAGTAAAAAAAACCTTGAAAAACAAAACAAAACATTCAATGAACATTCATTATGTGCACATTTTATATATGCTGGTCATTGTTGAGCTAAAGACAACAGATGAATATCTGAAGTAATTATCTGGATCAAGATTAGGCACATTTATTAATCTGAATCAGTAGTTCAAGATGTCTGCTGAAATGCTGGCATTAGTGGAAAGGAGAAAGATGTTTGGCATCATCCTGCTGAATATGGAATAAATCCAGCCAGTGGAGGTGTGTGTGTTGGGGGGTGGGGGTTGTTTAACAAACCATTAATCATGGTTACAGTCAGGGTTTTTTTTTGTCATAGAACGCCCAGAATGGAGTTCCGGCACCTTTTTTGGATGGAACCTTGTAGGATAGGCAAGGCGGGTTGTATGACATCTGTGAGTTCCGGCACCTTTTTTTTTTTTTTTTTAAAGCACTGGTTACAGTGAACTAATTTATTGTGATGTCAGCTGCTAAATTTGGAGGAGTGCACCTCCACACAGTACTCTCACAATGCACTGTGGAGAGACATGTTTGGAAGTATGGAAATTCTATTGTCTCATACGCCAAATCATCAGGCTACAGCTTCTCTATTTTGTTTACAATTTAATATAAATGATCCAAATCTAAAAAGATCTTTTGTATTTTGGCAAAGTACCAGAAAAGTTCAATTCATATTCTTCCCTATCTAACTTAGGAAATGGATAAATACACTCATCTATTAACAAGATGCTTCATCTTTCTGATATATCTGGTATTTTGCAAAGTTTCTTGTAGGAACAAGGATAGGTTTGTGTCTGTACTACTCCAGAGGATCTGGCAGTGAAA